AGTGTCGGTATCGACTCGTGTCCGATACGTGTCAGACACGGATACGCTACCCTGATTGAAGTGTCCGTGCTACAAAGGGGATAAGTATGTAAAACAATTATAGTTTAACTTGCTGAAATTTCAACACCTTAAAGGATGTGGCTCAACTGTTTCATGTTGGTTCGTTAAATGTCCCTTGATCATAATTATACTGCACATACCCCTTATGCATCCCAGTCATGCCATTCACATCAATGTGGCTGGCCACATTTGCATATTTCAGTATAGCCAATTAGAAAGCAGTCCTATCGCTCTCATTAAGACTTGCACAGAGCGAATAGAACCATGGGAAACTATGAACACTTCTGCAATCCCATTTCCATCCTTCCAACCCTACCTATTCATGTCTTGAGATTTAACTTAGCTCAAGGACATGCACTTTAAAAGGAGGTACCCTACAATATCATTCAGATAGCATGGATGAATCTCACTACTGTTAATGCACGATCAAGGCTGTACCTCTCCAGCTTATACTCTTGGTGTATGATGATCTGACTCTTCAGTTTGGATGAAAAAACCATGTCGACAGGACATGACATGGGTATGGGTATGATTATGGATCCCATGTCAGATACTTCAAGGTAGAATTAGGCTTGGCAAAAACATGGAAGGGAGATTCCATGCGAGAAAGCAATAGTTGTAGAAGATAAAGAGTGGGCCCATGATTTTGAAGCAATAAAATTGAATTTGAGGCATAAAATCAAGATTTTCAAGGAATAAACCAAGCCTTTTAGCCTTCGTACTTGTGCTAAAATTTTACTTTTCAAGAAGTGAGTGGTAGATAAGTGGGTAGTGCTCGTGGACTTTACAAAATGTGTGGTTAAAATTAATATTTGACTTTGAAAAGTAAGATTTAAACAAAAGAAAATGAAACCCAAACTTACTGAGAAATACATTTACATTATTAGTATGTAATATTCTCAAAAAAAATAATGTTTGTAAAGACATCCACGTAAATGTGTCCAAATTTTGAATCATTTTTAGCCGATCCCCGTATCTCAAGTTTTAGAAGAAAAATGATACAACTCCTAGATATGTACTCGTATCTGACACCCTTTTGGTACGAAGATCATTTATTTGTTATGTGAGTTCTGTGTGTGCAAGCAAGCCAGAGAGAATTTTGGGAGAATGAACATCCAGAGACAACTTATATTGTCCAATGATAAAATACCATGGTATCTGTTTAATTATTGTTATTTTTGTCGCAATATGTTATTTTATTTTTCTATTGAATTCATTCTAGCATCCATAACCTCAACTACTGAAGACTATCTAGATTTAATTTTTTATTAAGCATGTGTTTTCTTTGCACTTGTTTGGTGAAGCAATGAACTTACAAGTTATGCACATGTACAAATGAGATCCAAGTATTCTCACCAGTGATATTGGTACTCATGCCTACCTGCATCTGTAGATGAACTATATAGCTGACTAACAGTACCTTCTGTTGAAACCCATTACTTACTGTCTATTGTTTGCTTATTTATTTGAATATAGGTTGGCTGGGACGAATCCACTGCAGGAGAGAGGCAGCCACGGGTATCATTATGGGAAATTGAACCCTTGACTACATTTCCTATGTATCCCTCTTTATTTCCCCTCAGACTGAAACGACCATGGTATTCAGGGGGATCATCTTTTCAAGGTATACTTCCTGCCCCCAAATTTACATTTCAGGTTGTGTATTGATATCAAAAGCTTTCAATTGTGGAGGCATTATACGAAGTCTTTTTATATTTTACTTCCATATATGTTTCTTTTTGGCTTCTTATTGGAGAAGGAAGAGTTTGTTAAAAAGTAAATAAGCGGCACCTGGGTTGACCTGTTCGTGCCATATTATGACTGTTTTGCACACATTTGAACATAAAATATTTGGGTTCAAGTTTCACTGCCACCAATTTATTAAAATTGAGGTAGACAAAATTTAAATGAATACAAGTGGCCCCTTTCTATTGGCTCGAACTTTTAGATGAAATGGTCCATAATGTCCTAACTCTCAAATTCCACAACTTTACTTCTTGCGTACTTGTAACAAAAGCCTCACAAATCTGAGGCACATTCTCACAATCTTTAAATTGACTTTCAATAAATTTCTTATAGAACATGAAGGCTACAATCAACTTAGCACTACCAATCTTCCTCCCAATACATGGGTCCTGAAATCCAAAGTCGAGAAAATTTAGCTTCACAATTTAGGTCTTGAGAAAGGTTGGTACCAGAGATCAAATTGCAAGACAAATTAGGGATATGAAAAGCAGAATTTAGAATGGAATTCTCTGATATTTTAATTGAACATTTTTCATCAATAGAATACAAAGAACACATCTGCAGTTGTCACTTTCTGATGACCACGGCATGGAGTAAATGAAACAAACAAGCGTGACAAACTAGACATGTTATGAAGAACAATTACAAATTTAACTGTTGAGCAAGATGAGATAAAGGATTTCAGGTGATTGGGGTTGACTAGTAATGCTGTACAGGAATTCCAATTGCTCTTTAGGGAATGGATAATGCTATCTAGCCCAAGGTGCTAACAACCATTCCAACTTCATTGGATAATGCAGCAATGTCCAGACTGCCACATAGATTAATGCTTATGCATTTCTGGGGCTAAATAGCATTACTCTTGTTAAAACAATGATGAATTCGGTAGGTTTTGAAGGCAGCAGCAGCTTGGAATTGTCTCTCTCTTATACAGCTTGATAACTTCAGTTTTTTGGATTTGGTCTTCTGGTTCTTCTCGGTTTGAGATTCAACTTCTCAAGTTCCAGCACACCTCATGCTGTGGCCTGATCTCTTTCACTAATAACATCAATGCTATATTTCACGAAATGTTTCTTACCTTCATTCCTTCGTCCACGATCCAAAAGGGCACCATCATTCCTGTTCACCGCCAATGCCAAGTTTTCAAAAATAACACTGCCATCTGTTGTCCCTTCCATGTACATCCCATCATCATATGAAGTCTGCTATCTTCTTTTTTATTGCAGCAAATAATACTCTTACCAATGGTATTAATTCTTCACCAGGAACTCTACTTCGAATAGGTCTTCACTAAGTGGCCATTTATTTTATGGGTGATAATTTGTAGAGAGTGATTCCCACGGTAAAGTGAAGGTGGATTAACAGAAGAAATTGTTGTTTCCGATTTTTCTGAGGTGACTTCTGACATCTTTTCTGACTTGAGAAGAGATTTTTCTGGTTTAATCAGAAACTTGGTAGTTTAAAACTCTATACAAGCTCTGATACCATGATAAAAAATGGGTAATTTAATGTTTATCAAGAGAGGAAAAATTTTCAACATTTATAGACCTATTGTAGGGTTACAAACTGGTAAACAATTCATTTACATAAATGAGATATCTGCTAAATCACTAATTACAATCCCCTAAAAGATAAGGATATTTTATAAAAAGTAATCAATTGATTTGGCTGGGATGATTTACTAGCTGTGAATGCACATTTTGCAGGCTTTTACATCAATTCCATCATTGACTCCTTCCAAGTACTTGAAATTAATGTCACCATCTTGGAAAAAAACTCAATAATTATCTCAAGCATAAACGCAAAGAGAAGAAAACTGAGCAGCCAATAATTGTTTCAGAATTGAAGAAGATAACGAACAATCTGACATAAAATTTGATGTCACCACATAAAATCTAAACCCAATATGATGGAGAATGGTTCAAAAACTATAACAAGAAGCATTCTCATGATTTTCCAAATCAAGTTCAAGAACAACAAAAGCTAAGACATCAGTCATAAGATTATCACAAGCCTAAAAACTTCCAGTAGAAGAATGCTCAAGCCAATGTGACTGAATTAAACTGAGAATCTGAAGAATGTCATCTATGAATCTGTTTTGTCTGAGTGCAATACAATCAGTCACTCCGAAGAACCGCAGATGGACATTTGTGCCAACAAGTCGATGTTCTCTTCGTACACACAAGTTAATGGAGAATAACTGTTTATGGGAAATCCTCTAGCTCTGAGGTTGAAGGACAAGGGGAAGTGGTAGTCAATATGACTTCTGACAAGAAACTCATCCTTAATAATGTGGTAGACATGTCTGATGTCGCAGAAGTCCAGTGTTCCGATCTTTCCTTCAAGATTGAGTGCTGCTGCTATCCTCAAGACCTTCTGCGTTAGAGGGAGCAAATTTGTCGAGTACACAACATGAAGGTGTTGGGCTCAGATAATTTTGAGTTTGATTTTATTTTAGATTATGCATTTCTTTAGCAGTATAAATGTTCTAGTGTTGTAGAAACATTAGATACAATTAATTATTCTTTTAAAGGGGCTGACTATGTCTAATTCAATGTCTTCACCAGTGGGAACATGAAATTAAAACTTATACACGAGTAAATACCAAATGATAGGGTTGCCAAAGCCCATATCACACTTCCTATTTTCTTAATATGTTCGGTAATTAATCATGCTGCTTGTTTAATGTTTTTGAACCATATATAGTTTTCCAGTCCTTTCATATGGTCAAGTTGTTTTCCTGTGCTCCTGTAACAGATGGCTGTAATGAAGCCATGAATGGCATGGCGTGGATGAAAGGTGAAACTGGTGAGCAAGGACTCAATTCTATGAATTTCCAGTCTGTTGGTATGTTTCCCTGGATGCAGCAAAGAGTTGATCCGACAGTCCTACACAATGATCTTAATCAGCAATACCAGGCTATGCTGGCAGCCGGTTTGCAACATTGTGGAAGCGGAGATTTGCTCAAAGACCAACTCATGCAGCAGTTCCAGCAGAATCCTGTTCAATATCTTCAACATTCAGGTAGCCATAACCCCCTGTTACAGCAGCAGCAGGTAATCCAGCCAACAATATCTTCACATATGCTCCCTACACAAACCCAAATGCTGTCAGATAATTTGCAGAGGCCAACTCAACAGCAAGTTAACAATGTGTCCAAAGAACATCAGCAACGACACAATTATCAGGAATCATTTTTAATGCAACGTGATCAGCCTCAACAGAAGCAGCCATCTGATGTTCCTTCCCCTTCATTTAAGAAATCTGACTTCACAAATTTGAACAGTAAATTTGCAGCGTCTGTTGCTCCTGGAATGCAAAATTTGCTGGGTTCACTTTGTTCTGAAGTGAGTGGTAATCTTTTAAGTTTCTCTAGACCTGATGAGTCAATACTCTCAGAGCAGTCACCCCAACAATCCTGGGTGTCTAAATTCTCTCAGTCGCCAAACAGTAATTGTTCCAATTCGACATCACTTCCACAGTATTCAGGAAAAGATTCTTCTGCTGAGCAGGGAACTTGTAGCTTGGATGCCCAGAATCATTCTCTTTTTGGTGCTAATATTGACACTGCAGGGCTCTTGCTTCCAACTGTTGTGTCTAGTATTGCTAATACCTCTTCGGTTCATGCTGATATGTCCTCTATGCAGCTGGGGTCTTCTGGGTTTCAGAGTCCTCTATACGGCTATGTGCAAGATTCTTCTGAGTTGTTGCATAATACAGGACAAGTTGACCAACCATCCGTGACCTGTACCTTCATCAAGGTGTTAGTTTGAGGGTGTATTTGTACTTCTAGACATGTCTACATTTTTGTTGGGTAAGGTACGATATTAATTTCTTTTTTGATGCAGGTTTATAAATCAGGATCGGTTGGTAGGTCACTGGACATCGGCCGGTTCAACAGCTATCAGGAGCTGCGTCAGGAACTAGGTCAAATGTTCGGTATTGAAGGGTTGCTTGAAGACCCTAAAAGATCAGGCTGGCAGCTTGTATTCGTTGACAGGGAGAATGATGTGCTTCTCCTTGGAGACGATCCATGGGAGTAAGTATCTTGATAATCCAAGTTTTTTCCCCCCTCAGTGAGTCAGTTCTTAGGCACTCGGTAGCCTTCACCTTCCAGTTTTTTGCTATCGGAAACGTGGCTTAATCTTTTCCTCCGTTCACTACTTTTGTACGTAAATGAAACTTATTTTATGGATCCTGGATCCTTTTCTGATTCATCCCTCGGCCACATAAATGGTCACTTGAGATCTTGAAACATTACTTTGAAACTGACCATCATACATGAAATTTACAGGGCATTTGTGAATAATGTCTGGTATATCAAGATCCTTTCTCCCGATGATGTGCAGAAACTGGGAGAAGAAGAAGCTCGATCCTTGGGTCGAAGTGCATCTGAAAGGATAAATAATACTGAATGCCAAGACCTTGTTGGACTCTCGTCTATAGGGTCGCTTGAATACTGAGAAATGGATGCTTCCCTGGAGACACTGGATGCCTACTGTTTCTTCTGCAGTGCCTAGAAGTTGTTCATTTATACATTCTGTATGGCTTCATAGGATTTGGCCTTTTCTTCATGTTGTCGTGCAGCACTATTATATACATTTCATGGCAATGACAATGTCTCTTTAGTGAACATGAATTTATTATGAGTTTAAGCACGTGATTTCGATTAAGAATCCTGAACCTCCCTTGGTCGATGTAATTCGTAAACACATGGACATTGCTTACTAACGTTTTGTTTTTTCTACATTCAGTTCGTTAATGAGCTTTTGTTGGATGAAGTTAATTCTAAATAAGGCTTTTGGTTCCCTGGAGTTTGAGTTATCATTGCTTTCTGTCATTTCGGTAGTATAAACATTAAACATAGTCAAGGAAGAATTAGAGACCTGGAATTAAGCTTGATATATTGATTGAGGTATGACAAGTGTATTTTGTACAATTATCTAAGCCATTAAATTAGGATATTTTGTATTACTTTTGATAAATTATAGTCTAATTTCGTGTATTTATCTTTTGTTAGGTAAAATTGAGCGATTGAAGTGGTTTTGGATGAAAGGAACGAAAAGGGGTTAAATGGAAGAAATTCAAAGTTGGGGGATTGAAGTGAAAATATTTAATAGCTCATTTGGATAAACAAAATGACAAATGGAGAATGTTACGAGTCAATCGGGTGCAATTAGTAGTCAAATGAGTGAAATATAGTCAAATTATTTTCACAAATCAATTTCAGCTGCACAAGTTAAGTTTTATATTTTCAATCTCAAATTGAGATCCATTTATTGCACAAGTTATGTTTCATATTTTCAATCTCAAAATGATATTTCTAAAAGAATTGTATCCATTTGATTTATCTTTCTAACATACGTTAAATAACATCAATCGGATATCGGGAAAGAAAAATATATCAAAAATACTAAATGTTGTACAGAGACATAACCACGCACGATGCAAATGCAGCTTTCCTCATTTGATTGAGACTCCTTTGAAACTCAATTTGAATGTGTTTCTTGATCTAATTTCACCTTCTATAAGTATAAAACATGGACAATCATTGAAAGGATCTCTCAATCACTTTTCAAATCACTTTTATATTATAAAATCATTCAAGAATAATAAGCAAATTCATCATAAGTTGGAGAGGAAAACAAATATAGTGCTAATTGGGTGATGCTTTTCAATTCTTGTTATTTTATCTTTAAAAAATATGTTAAACTATATATATATAATTTTTTTTTGTTTTTTTTTTGGTGTTGGATGAAGATTGAATTAGACTTTACGAAGATGAAGCATTTATTTATTTATTTATTTATAATTGAAAGATAAGTAGTTTAGGAATTTTTGTTTTTTTATTGATTATGCATGCTCGTTGTATTATTTATTTGCTTGCGAATATTTAAGTAATTAATTGCTTGTTGTAGTACTAAAAAGTTCACAATAAGTAGAACATTACATGCTTAACATACGGGCAATAGATTTTAGAAATAACAATATTGTGTATGCAATCACCTTGATAATATATAGGAATGCCAAAATGTACTCATTATGTTCATATTTTGATTTAGGTGGCAATTCTATAGATATAGTGTAATTTGGAAGAAATAAGCGAACAATGACAAAAATGAAAGAAAACGAAGTTTGGGGACTGAAATGCAAATAATAAAAAATTATGTGGAACCATATGATAAAGATTTGAGTGTGTTATGAGTCAATTGGATGAAAGAAGACATCAAAGGGATGAAATATCGTCAAAGTATGATCACACATCAATTTCCAATCGAAAAGTTATACACCGATTTTCAGCCTCATATTGAGACCCATTTTTGACATGGAAAATAATCGAATTGAAAGATAATATCTGAAGTAAAGTTG